GAGAGAGAGAGAGAGAGAGAGAGAGAGAGAGAGAGAGAGAGAGGGAGAGAGAGAGAGAGAGGATCATTTTTCTTATCATGATAAAATACGCCGATTTTGCACCACTACAATTATTACTATTATTACTATTACCAGCACCACAACCCTCTCGATTGATTAAATGTATCGTTATTTATTTTTGTATAGATTTCTGCCATAGGCCGTTCTGCGTCTACGTTTTTTGTGAGCGTTTTATGAAAGCGACTGAACACTTTGTACAAGAGATTGAGAGAGAGAAAGAGAGAGAAGGGGGGGGGGGAGCGCAGATAGAGTTTCATCTGTTTTTCGTATCGTGACTGTGTTAAGATTGCACGAAAATGGTAATGGGCCAGCGTGAAGTGTCGAGTACGTTTAATGTAATGTATAATCGTTTAGTTCATAGTGTCCATACCTTAACCTTCTCTCTCCGCCCTGTCCAATTATCTCTAATTACGGCAACGGCGAGAAGGAGAAGAATTAATCCCTAACTATCGTCTCGGCGGTATCTCTTCCCCACTGTCGATTAAACGCCAATCAATCCTCGTGCAAGAGGCAAGCACGTGCTCTCGATCGGAAGAGTCGTGCTAAAAGTACCTTTGAAATAGGACCCAAAGAATCCCAGGTTAATAGAAAAGGCCGCGAAATTTTTTTTTCTCTTATCATTATTACCTTTTTAATACTTTGTTCTTATTCACATTTTGTTTATCACGGCCTTTCTTTGTAAACATGTAAGTACGTAATTGTATTTTTTCGATAGCTTTTTTTTATAACTTTCATCTCTCCTATCTATATCCCTCTTTTTTTCCGCGCTGTTACCTTTTTTTCGTTCCTTTTTTTCACTCCTGCCTGTTCTGTCCTTTTTTGTCAAAAATAAATGTTGAAACTGTGTATGCATTTAAAATTAAAATAATAATATTAATGATAATGATTATACTATTAATATTAACGGTGATCGTAATTTATAATTATTAATATTTAATATATAAGTACATAAGATCGATGGTTTTTCTTAATATTGCAGGATTACATGGTCCAATCGCCTTCCGGCAACCACGTTCCGGCAGCGTCTTTTTTATTTTCTTTTTTTAAGAATTTTGTACATTCACCCTATACACATATATATGTAGTTAATTGCGTGATGCGCTTTACTTTTCATTTATGGTATATAAACGAATATTTTAATTCGATAGTTCCATGAACCTTTGTTTTAATTACGAATAAAATATATAATTTGTACATACGAAAAGTGTTGTGTATCACGATAAAAATTATGATGGGATGCGTCGGTTGTCAAAATCAAGAGAATTGAGAGAAAAATGCGTGGATTCCGGAAAGCGACTATCGAAACATTTTTTTCTAGTGGAACCAAAAAAAATGTAATTTGTCTGGCTACAAAGCAAGCAAGCACCAGTCTCCGACGATTTTGGAGAAATATTGCAAACCTCGAACATATTCGAATTTCGCAAAATCGGTTCTTTTTTTACACGTATATATAAATAACTAATCTTGCTTACGTAATGCTTTATACTTGTTAGATATCTAACGGGAAAGATCTTTCTCTGTCTCAGAAGAGAAGATCCTTGTTCCTTCGATTCTTTGTATTATTAAGAATTCTTCCAAAGTTCGATGTAAAATATCAGGCGTTACGTTAAAAATGCGAGAAACGTGGATAATGCGTCCCCTTTTCGGTACTTCCAACATAACTTTGAAATGAAAAAAGTAATGATTTTAGAGCAGAGAATTACGAAGGAATAGAAAACTTTAATGAACAGACTAATGGAAATAGATCTGTGCTTTTTGCATTTCGTAATTCCATGGCTTTCTCAAGAGGTGATTTTCTGCTTTTTGTACTTTGAAGCCTGGAACGATATGATTTCTTATTTTTGGTACAAATATGAAAAAACCTATCGGCGAATAACGCAAAATTGACAAGTTATTAAGCCTCTAGTCATATTAATGGCATTCGCGTGAAAAATAAAGGACCAGCAGGTAAAACTGTAAGCGGAAATAATTTTTTTAACATCTTGCTGTTCGCGCGAATACAATTGCGGAACTTTAACTATTTATTTTTCTTTTTTGAAAATGTGACGTACGGTAGAATAATTGCGGCGCAGGAGGAAAAGTAACGGCGTAAAAAACAGCTCTGATAAAATCAGCCTTTTGTTTTTCTCTCTTTTTCGTGCTTTTAATGATATAAAGAGAATAAAAATATTTGGAAAAAGAATCAAACGTGGCGTTTCCGTTATTTTTTTACCGCTTCTTCGCTTTCTGTTTCCTCCCTCCGTAAGTGATATATTCGCGTTTTTCATGGTTTTATTACCCCGATATTTTCTTTATGTATGTTATTTTCTTTCGTTACATATTCGTTAATGTCGTTAAGCGCCCTGCTAAGACGAGATCTACAAGATTATGGCGCGTTGGGTCCTATTTCAATTATTAGAATAATCGTCGCTAGTGTATACGCGTTCATGTACAATAGTTAAAAAAAAGAGGGAAAGGAGGAAAGAAAGGGAAGAAACGTGAAAAATGTGCCGATGACACTTTCGTGATTTGTTTTACGATGGACGACGAGAAGCTGTCGGGAATACTGCCTCTTTCAAGTTATGCAAAAAAAAAAGAATAAATTACGAGATATAATGCGTGTATTATACATAAAACATATATACACTAAATGACGCGAAAGCCACTGTTAAAGTTTAAAAAAGAAAATGCGCAAGAGGACGTGGCCGTGTAAAACAACTAAGACGTGGAGTGAAAAGTGCATCGATGAAGATCGAGTGAACATTATTTGGAAGGGAAAGGTACATTCACTCAGCAATTGAAAATTGAAAAGCAAGACACGTCTTTACCGTTAAATGGTAGATAGTTACAAAGATTTCATCACTTTTTTATAGATAAAAATATATATACATATATATATATATATAAATATATATAAGTAATAATAATTAATCACTATTGACGGTTAGCCTAGGTCATTCGCCTATAGTCACTTCGTCGCAGAGGACATTTCCACGAAGCATGTGAATATTCGATTTCCTTCGTTGATAAATAAATCGTCTTGTTTCTTATGATATAGGTCGTGTTCCGATATACACTATACCCATATTGAAAATCTAATATATGTAACGTACACTATTATAGATTTTTAGTACTGGCAGTGTATATCGCAACACGGTTATCAGACCGTTATCAGACAGCACGAATGTCCAAAATCGGCATGTAAAACTTCTTAAAAATGTCATTAAGACATGTCTTATTCCTGACTTTGGACATTTCTTACAGAAATCCGATTTACTAAAAATTGTTTATTTTAAGTATTAAAAGCATTGAACAACAGTGCTTTTAATACTCGAAATAAGTAATTAATCACTATACCTTCTAATGATTAAATTTCTGTAAGGAATGCGTGCTGAGTATAGTACGTGGATGTCCCTGTCACAGAATTCATCATCATTCGCGTAATAGGAAGAATTGTTTCGGAAGGGATCGGTTGAGAGAATACGTGAAAAGACTAATTTCGTCGTGTTATAGCGATATCATTATATTTGAATCAGGGATGAATTTCAAAATTTTTTCTTTACCCTATATCGAGTCATTCGATTACATTATTTCTGTTGTAATGAATTGTGTTACTTTCCGATATTACATCTTTATTTAAACTTTTGTCATAACGTAACGTCCAATAATATTCTGCAGTAGAGAAGCCTATTCGAGAAATGGTTCTGCAGAAATAAAAAAATTCTTTTGAGCACATGCATTATCTGCCCACTTGATTGATCATTGGATAGATCGTTCAGATAGAAAATAAAATAAAAATATATCTTTTTACACACATACATACACACACACACAGTTGCAGTTTTATGCTGTAATAAG